CTACAGGCCTGAATATTCGAGAAAGCTTATTAAAGACAAGATACGCCCTCCGGTAGGATTCGAACCTGTGTCCTGCTTACCAGGAGAAACCTTCGTTAGATCAAACCCATATCTGCGTAAACGCTTTGTTTATTTATATTTGTATATTTATTTATTTTCGTCTGAAGACTCGAGAAATATTATTAACTCCCTTACCGTGCGGCATTTAAACTTGCTCCTACGGAGGGTTCTTGATTGGGCCTTTGGCTTGTTCAGGAGTTTGAGAGTCTCTAAGTCTTTGCATATTCTCGGCATTGGAAGCTCTCCTAGCTGCCTTTTTTCATTTCCACCGGGCTTTCTTTTCCTCGTTGCAGCCTTGACTCTTTTGTTTGCAATCTCGTCCTCTCCTCGTAGAGATTTCTTTTTGCAAGGCATTCTGCTGCCGTATGGGATAGCCAACAATAAACTACAGAAGAACTCAAAATTGATCACTGCATTTAAGTATTACATTAATATTTCAGCTTACCTTTTAAAAGTTCAACGTTAAATTCTTCTATTGCCATTCATTTAGAGACAATTTGATGTACGTAGGTCCTTACTTTCAAAACAATTATTTTAATTTCATGGGTGACTTTCGCCGGATTTCGAAATTAATTTCGATTATTCCCAAATTTATTTTTAAGTTATAAAATTTGTTATCATACAAAAAAAAAATTCGTCGCAAAAAATCACGTAAAAAATCGCCAAAATAATGAAAACTTGAGAATCCAAAATTTTTGTAACGTGAGCTATGGAAAGTTAGAGAGTTGTGTCCCTTCAATTGAAAATGTGTGGCACACTGACACACTGACATTCGCATTTATTATATAGAAGAAATTCAAATCTCAAGGATTCAAATATCCGCCATTCTTAGTTTAATAAATAAACAGAGCATCTACTCAAATATGTGTGTCCACTAAAAATAACGTTTAAGTGATAAAATCTATCCGATTAATAAATAAAAACTGATTATTTAGAATATATATATATATATATATATATATATATATATATATATATATATATATATAAAGACATTTTTATGTTTAAACATTCTTTTTATAGAATTTTTATGTTTATAGAATGTCTTAAATTAATTGTCGGACTTTGTTGATTTCTTTATATATATATATATATATATATATATATATATATATATAAAAATAAAGCTGTATGATGCCAAAAAATAAACCGTAATTTATATTCAAAATTAATCTCCATTAACGTATTTAAGCAAATGTTTATTTTTATGCCTACATGTAACCACCAATTCATTTCTCTTGTTTAATAAGCTAGGGTTATTTAAATGATTTAAGAAAAACAATTTTTCAACAAGACATAAGTTACATTTACTTCCTTTCCCGTTATAAGGTTTAGCTCTTGTCATAATATCCCAGATGAATGATGGTGCGATACATTTTTTAATTGCCAGAAATATTTGGAGAGAGCGGTGTTGTTTTTGTAGAAATATTTACCTTGTCTTTGTTGGAAATATATTCGTTTAATATAATGTTGTTATGCTGGGATATGGTTTTATTTATGTTGTTAACTCAGCTATAGTTGATTTTAACATCTTTTTTGGTGTGCTTATGGATTTAAATCTTGGAAAGTTCTTACTATATTAGTTTGAACATTACGAATAAAGGTTGGATTGAACCACATAAATTTACGCTTACAGTGTTTCTGTTTATTTTTACCTTCTTTGTTTGTTTAATACTCTAAATTTACTTTATGATTGATTAGTTCAATATATATATATATATATATATATATATATATATATATATATATATATCAGTTGCAACTCTGGGGGTCAGGCTTGTCGAGCTCAGCCCGAGTGAGTCAACATTCAAGTATATCAATTTCGAAACAGCAAAAATCTTTCGTAAGGCCTGGTTTTAATTCTAGACTTCAGCTGGATCCAAAATTAATTGTTTTAACTCCGTGTCTCAAAATATTAATCGAAATACATTTCGTTGACATTATTCATAATAAAAAAGAAAGAAAGAAGAAAAAAGAAAATAAACAAAGATAGTAAGTAAAAAAAAAAGAATGAAACAAAATTAATGTGGTTAGTCGGGCTGCGTAGATCTGAGCCCTATCAACCTGGAGACATACTTAATAGGTAGTGTGTTTCTTGCTTTAATTTTATAAATAATCTTTTAAAAATCTCTGCCCTGTTTTTCAAAGAACACATTTTTATTTCAACTTATTGTTTTCAAATGTCCAGTTTAAATAATTCATTCCGTACAATATTGTTGTGGTACGATCCACCTAATTTACATAGTGGAGTACCGACCATATAAATATGGGTTGGTACCGGGAAGACGAGGGAAGAAGTAAGAAGAGATCCAATCCAGAGACTCTGCCCGACTGCGATTAAACCCGACTTACAAGCGGCGAAAATCAAAGAAAGCGGTAGTCTTAACTCGTCGACTGGAGGGTCGGGGTGAGGAATGTGACTGGGATAGTGCTGAGAAAATAGCAGTACTAACCATAAACGTACAATACATGAAACTAGAAATTCACAGAGAAATACATAAACACACTAACTCATAGATATATACAAACATACACTCTATAATCAGTGACTTGATAACAAGGCCATAAAACAATAAAAACTGGAAAGGGGGCAATAAACAGACAAATATAGGAAAGACTTTGTCTTCACTCTTTTTCTTACATGTCTGGAAATATTTTTTTTTAAAAATAAATGTTTATTTTTATAGAATTATTAAAATTAATATTAGAATAATAAAATAAATATTCTGTTTTTTAATTTCCCGCACAGATTTTAAAAAGTTATATATTTTAATTATTTCGTCCACCGGAGTAGACTGTTCTAGTTCCACGCGCCATGCCTCTTCCGGATCCAGTTCGAAATTCCAATCACCTGAAGAAGGCCGGAACGTAAAACGGTTGAAACGTTGTAAATATGGGAATGAAGATTTTCAACTTTTAATCAATAATTTATTTAACCTGTACTTTTTTTTATGCAAATTTTATATTCTCCTCTAAAGAGAAAGAGCAATAAACTTAGTTTATTGCATTATTTTTTTTTTATTATTGTTTTATATTCACCTTTTAAACAATATTTTATATAATTGCTACCACATACAGTCAGGTGATGGTGCTATATATTTAAAGATTCTTGATAAAATCCACAGAAGAATCAGCAATATTATTGGTCCTGACCTGGCTTCTCGACTTTAGTTGCTTTCCTTGAAACTAAAATGCAAGTCAGGTGTGCGGGCCTGGGATTTCCAAAAACGGTGTACCGAACCTATGTCAGGTTAGCAATGATGAGGGTCTGCGAAATCCCTTAGAGATTGGTTCACAGCCAAGTGTTCACGGACCCATAAGGCAGAATTAAATCAATTTTCCATTTCTCACTGATAAGAATTCGTATGTAAAAAAAATTACCATTCAAGAATTGTATACGGTCAGTGCAAAATAACAGTTCAATTAGAATTTTAGAGACAGAACTATATTCGTGCTTTTTAAGTACATTTTCAAAAAGGGCAAATTTTACGCTTGCATCTAGAGATTCTTGATAAAATCCAAAGAAGAATCTGCAATGTTATTGGTCCTTATCTAGCATCTCGGCTTTCGTCACGTTATCACCGGCTTGACGTAGCTTCCCTGTACCTTTTCTATGAACACTTTCATGATAATCGTTCTGAGGACCTCTCCTCTATGGTACCTAGACTTTATAAATTTAAGCGCAGTACTAGATTGGCGACTAGGTCTCATCATTTTACAGTTGAAATGTCTAGATCGCTACTAGAAAGAGCGATGGTATTTAATGGACTTGAAATGCTTATTTTCCTGAAAAACTGGGGAAGCGGTAATCGATTTCACCCCAAGCAAGGCAGTAAAGCCACTAAGACACAAGGGGTGACTGAGTGTGGAAGAATTAGAAATGAGAAACTTTACTAAAGAACAAGAAAAAAAAAGAAGAGCAATCAGAAGAACAGTAGATATATATATATATATATATATATATATATATATATATATATATATATATATATATATTACATTTAAACTTTTGAAGATTAAATTTGTCTGGAAAGCTTGAAGCCGTAAGATAGTTCCACAAGCGAGGAACTGGTAAATAAATTTACGGTTAGGTTTAGCTAATTCAATTGTAAATAGATGAGACCTCATATTTGCCAGTCTAGTACTGCGCTTAAATTATTTAAAAAAAAGTCCAAGAACCATGGTGAAGAGTGGTATTTATTTGTAAATATTTACAAAATGTGGTACAAGGCCAAAAATGGAGAATGGGGAAAAAGGACGGTCTTCTTCTGTCTTAAATAAAAACTTAGCTAAATGCACAAATATTATATTAAATATACTACAATATTCCTTACACCACGACAACGCATTCTTACTTACCTTTCTGATTACGTTCACCATAATACCTCGTGGTCTCTATGAAAATCCTAACTAGTCCCTATATGTACAATTCATTGTCTCTAGGGGGAAGGGAATAAAATAACAATTTTTAAAAAGTTAACCCCCAATGAATATTTACAAATGTGAAACAAAACTATATACAAGAAACCAAACAAAATATTAGTAATAAAAAAAATTCCAAATCATTTAATACCAAATTAAATGGACTTATGCGATATTGATTTCTTTTATTTACAGAAAAATATCACAAGCCCAAAATGGAGAATGTTGAAAAGGACGGTCTTCATTTGTCTTAAATTTAAACTTAGTTAGCCACAAACACTGACCCAAATATACCACAATATTCCTAAAAATTGTTCCCTCAATGAATGTTGAACGATTTCTGTGGGGAAACAGTTATTTTTATCGTTACCATTTAAAATCTTGGCCTTTTGTGGCTTACGGCCATATTACGTTGCGAAACCGGTTCCCAAATGATCACCAAAGTTAAGCAACGTAATGTGCTCAGATGGGTGACAGCTTGGAAATATCAGCTTGGATGTTCGGGTGGTTTAATGTGCTTACGGCCATATCACGTTACAACACCGATTCTCGTACGATCATCATAGTTAAGCAATACCAAGCCTAGTTAGTACTTAGATGGGTGACCGCTTGTGAATATAAGATGCTGTAAACTTGAATGTGTGATTGGTGTGATGGGTAGAGGTTCGGAATTGTTAATCGGAGAACCAAGTTTCAATTCCAGTTGGGTTCGTTATATTCACTTACGCAAAAATGCCCTTGTGAAAGATATAAACCATAGAGACCCAGCTATAAGTTATTTCGTACGATTTGTATCACTAAACAATTAGTATCTAAAAAAAGAAAGAAACTCTAAACATATATATATATATATATATATATATATATATATAAAACATTAGGCAGCATATGATTTACATACAAAGAATAATCACACATAGAATTAATCATAGATTAATAATAGAATTAATAGAATTAATGTTTTATGTTTATTAAAAACTATCGATCCGCAGTACATAAAAAATTCCTATAAAAAAAACTACTACTAAGACATTACACTATATTATTGAACTATATACTTAGTTCATGATATAAAAACTGAATACACTTGTAAAAATAGAATACGTGGATTTAACACATCACAAGAAATATTTAAATAAAATTTTTTTAAAAATTTTTGAAAACTTAGCGTTACGTCTTTGCACGTTCCGAGATCTTACACAACCGTCAATAATAGCAATATTAGAAAAAACATCTTTCGGTCGACATACAGGTATATCGTCTCAAGTTTTTGATTTTTATAAAAAAAAAAAACACATGCCTGATGATGAATAGAAGACTATTCGTAAAAGTACTAGCATTTTAACATCAAATAAACTGAAAAACTACAGACAACAAGTTTTTTCGACAAGGATCAAAACTCGCACTATGGATGAACAGGATTTTAATGCATATATTATGTTTTCTAGCGATGGATGTCGCCAATAATCGCATTAATACTTTGATTAATTTATGTGTGATTATTCTTTATTATATATATATATATATATATATATATATATATATATATATATATATATATATATATATATATATATATAAAAAAAAGGCTTAAAAACACTAATATCCCATAAATTAATTTTATTCCATTGGAATCGTAAATACGATCAATTCATCAGATTTTACAAATTCAAAAAAAAAACTATAGAAAAAACAACATAAATCCGGGAATAAAAATAAAATTTAGTATTGTATATGTTTGAGAGTGTGGGACGGACGTTAGAGTAAATGAAAGCTATAAAGGGGTAACAGAAAGTGAAGAATAGGAAGGTCTAAAGATGAAAAATGAAAATTAAAATTTAATGGAAGGGGGTAGAATTTCCGACTGATACCAAATCGGTCGGGTTTAATCTTAAAAAACATTCGGTTGTCTCGTCGCACTGAAAAATATACAGTAAAACAGGCCTGTATGCATGAATGACATTATATATATATATATAAGCAAGTTCATATAAAGGATTCCTTTAAAGCAAAGCTACTGTGATTTAAGGGATACTGGGTGTGGAAGAATTAGAAATCGGAGATCCAATTCAGTCGGGTTCGTTATATTCAATTACACGAAAATACCTTTGGGAAAAGACATATTATATATATTTATATATAAGCTATGGGTTAATTAGTTGGCTGGTATTAAAGTAAACTGTTCTCTTCGTTTTAGATGGGAGAAGGCGCCCGGTCCAGGAGATTCCAATCCTGCGGCAGCACCTTCCTCATTGCAGTAAATAGAGGCGGTGCAATATCAACGCCAGCATCGGCAGTGGTCGCGGAGACTGGGCAATTTTGTCCTGAGCCCATATACATACGTATGTGTATAGGTTCCCCACGTAAAATCAACGTTGTGCCACATCCTGCTTTAGTGGGGTAGGCCGTATAAACATTCCTTTTTTTTCTCCCACTCTATCCCCGGAAAAATCCTTTAACTGATTCATACACCGAGGTAATTGAAAAGTTTAGCATTTATTAATTCCACATTCTGAACTTTTGACCATCAAACTCATGTTCTAGGAATGTTCCCTTTCTTTATTTGCATTTGTGTGTTTTTCCAAAAATAAATCCTCACTGCGAGCGGAATGAACAAATCCCAAGCCTTGAAATAACCGTTCAACAACTTTTATCCCTGGTTGCAAAATTAGTAGTATTTTGCGGGGAAAAGTAGGATTTCCCAGTTAACAAAGTTATTGAGTAGATGTTTTATAGAGAGAGATTTCTCCGCTTGTTCTCACGGGAGGAGCGAGAAATCTGAGTGTGAAACTGCTAAAAAATTGAATACGAGTCTTCTAAGCAAAATAAGTTTTTTTGTTTTTTTTTTTTTTAGGTATTGTCTCGAAGGAGAAATTATCCGCCTGTTCTCACGGAAGGAACGAGAAATCTAAAGTCGAGCTGCCAGGACAGGCCTGTAGCAATGGTTATGAGTATATTCAGGCCTTATTATTCTAGGCTTTTAAGGGGCCATGAATAGGAAGATGGAAAAAGAATAAGCATTTAGGTAGAGGCCGCAGAAAATTAAAATTGGGAATGAGGACGATTAGTACTTGATTTTTTTTTTGGATTCTGGGATTTCTAGTTATTATTATGATTATTACCGTTGCTGTATATATTGAATATTTTAATTCAAGGAGCATTTCACATGCCACAATAGCCAACAAGTGAGATATTTTCTATATAATGTAAATCGAAATCCATATGTCAAATTACATCAGCCATATGATGAGGGATGACGACACTGACAGGAGGAAAGGATTATTTCGTCAGCTGCCTGGCAATGTTTGTTCGCATTTACATTTTCTATCCCTGTTTTTCGTCACAGCTTTCGGATCAAAAGCAATGTGCATTGCGTAATATGTGTTTTCCTCATTAATCAATGGACAAAGCACCTAGTCTGTGGATTCCTATCCTGCGGTAACATCTTGCACTAAGAGAGGTGGGATTGGTGAAATATTAACGCCACTGTGGGTGTGGTTACAGGGACTGGACAATTTTTGTCCTGGGCTCACATGCACTCATATGGAAATCCTTAAACAAAAAAAAACGACTTTTTTGTCACAACCCACCTAAAATGTTTATAGAGGGATTTTTTTATCAATAATTATCATTCCTTTTAGTTTTCTTTTTATTATTATTATTATTATTTTTATTTTTATTTTCTTTGATTTCTGGCGTTTACACATTTCTTTCCGGGTCCCGCCCAGGGACCTAAGGTTAGAAATGGCGTCATGACACTTTCCACTGACAAAAAAAAAAAATTAAATTACATAGATAAAGCCCTTCGTAAGGTGTGGGCTGTACTTGTCAGAACAATTTTTTATCTCCTTGAGGCATGGACTTCCAGGAATCCCTTCAATTAGTCTACTGCAATGCAATCTTTTCCAACCAGTCCTAGGGCTCCAACTCCAACAAGGATTGTTGATGTTCCCATATGCCACATTTTCGAGATTTCTATTTCAAAGGTCCTTGTATTTTGACAACTTTTTTGAATATCTTCAAAGATACATTGCAGTCAGCAGGGACTGCCATATCAATAAGGAGGCACCGTTTTTGTTTGTGGTCTTTAATAACAATATCTGGCCGGTTGGCTTTGATTGTTCTGTCAGTGTGTATTGTGTAGTCCCATAGAATTGTAACAGGTCCTATCTCCGTAACCGGGTCTGGGTGGTGTTCATACCAGTTTCTTTCAGTTTCCTTCCCGTAGAAGTTGCAGATTTTCCAGTGCAGATATTGGAAACTCTGTCATGTCGGGTTTTATATTCAGTGGGACTTGATACAAGAAGAGATCATATTATTATTACAATTATTATTATTATTATTATTATTATTATTATTATTTCATTTCGATTTCTGATGTATACACATTTCCATCCGGGTTCCAACAGGAGCTCAGAAATGTCTTCATGACAGTTTCCATTGGTCGTTTTTGTAAAAAAAAAAAAAAAAAAATCACATACATTTTATTTTTACATATCTTCGTAATGTCTGAGCTATAATTGTGAGTACATTGTTTTGTTTGTATCTCTTTAAAGCATGGGCTACTAGGAATCCCTTCAAAGAGTCTATCGGAATCTTTTCCAATCAATCCGAGGGCTCCAACTACAACAAGAATTGTTGATGTCCTTATGTGCCACATTTTTAGATTTATTATTATTTTTATTATTATTGTTGTTGTTGTTACTACTACAGTACTACTACTACTACTACTACTAAAAAAATTGAATTAATTTATTAAATTAGATAAAACTTTCTCAAAATGTAAGGCAAAAAATTAATTACTAATTTCGGTCCTAAAGACAATCACCTTTTTACGCATATAAGCCACGAATATTACAATATCGTTAACGCGAATTTCATTATACGTCTGTGCATCCGTACAAACAACGTAAATCCGTCTTGTTTATCCGCAATTTTTATTTATCTGCCTTTGATCATTCTTAATTATCTACCTGCTGATATTATATTGCGTTCTAGTAGGATTTAAATTATTTTTAATAAAAAAAAATCAACAATAACCAAAGGAAAAAAAACTTTTTTTAGAAGTGGAAGTTGATAGAAATTTACAAAGTAGTTCTGCACAAAATGAATATAAGAAAAACTAAAATTGATAACTTTAAAACGAAGATTCATCCAGTAAGTCGTAGTTTTCTTTTAAAATTCGGCTTTGTTAATTTTTATTTTAATAACTAGATTATAATTGTGCATTTATTATTCTTTTTTCTGTTTAATAATAACATTATTTTTTTTTCTCCTGAAAGCCACGTGTTGTTTTGTGCCTACCATTTGTTTATTACTGACGTGTCTTTTCTCTGTAAATACATTGAGTGTGACGCAATAATCATCAAGATTTCCTTATCCTTAAAGTATTTATAAGCATTCAAAAGTACCCCTCATTTATCACTCTGTAAAGCTTGCTGTAAGAATATATAGAAAATTATTTAGCTCTGAGAAAAGTTTTATCACCGTTTCAAACCTTTCGTTCTGATACAATTGACATTTTTTTTTTTTTTTTTGTAGTTTCACTTTTGTAATTTAGGAAATATTTCTCGTCTTAAAGAAGGAAGGAAAAACAAAGGAAAGAAAATATATTTTAAAAATAACAAGGTAAGACTTAGATTTACTTTTCTCTTTCTTTTTTAGTTATTTTAATTTATTGGTTCGAAGAGCCTTTAAAAAAAAAAAAAAAAAAAAACCCTCTTCATCTCTTGATTGGGAAGAAACGAAAAATAAATTTTTCATTTTCCATGTCAGGATATTTATTGAAAAATCATGAAAGATGAAAGAAATTTTCAATTTAAATATATTTTAAGGAACTTGTTTAGTACGTTAGCAACAATGATAAAGTAAATTGTAAACAAACTAAACAATTTCGAAAAATAAGATTTTTTAATTAATTACGCGACCTACGTGTTTGTCTCCCGGTTTTAAACAAGAAGAATTTGAAAGTTATTTTTAGTTACATGGTTAAAAACTTAAAATTAGAAAGTTGTTTTTAAAAAAATGTATCAAAATTGTAACAAAAAGAAATACTCCAAGTCACAACTCTGAACTAATAATTATGGCATGAATATTTTGAAACTACTCAAAAAAAAAAAAAGGTCCCTCTTGGAAAAAAAAACAAAAAACAAAACAATTTCTTTCAAATTTAATGACAATGACATTTGTTAAATTTAAAAACAAGGTAACGATCAGGAAACGATTTAATTTATGATAATGAATAGGACTCCACTTCTAAAAAACAAAAAAAAACACATGAATGTTTATTGTTTGCTGATCAACAACAATAACAAAAAAATTCCTATTTTGACAAGCGGATATTTTCCCCTCAGCAGTTCTAAAATTTCTAGCATAAAAAACAATTTCGCAAGACCCCGGATATGTTTTAGTAGTAGGAACTTTTTATTGTTATACTTTTGTTAACTTCTTGTTGTTGATTGGTAGTATTAACTTGTTGTTGATGATAGTAGTTAGTATTAACTTGTTGTTAATTAATTTATAACTAAAAACATCTCCCTTTTATTCTCAGGGCAATGTTTGTTTTTTTTAGTTCTATTTAGAAATCCTACAATAAAGCACTTAAAAGGCGAGCTTTTTCGTGGGTCCTGCATAAAAAAAAAAATGCTGCCAAATAATGACAGTTTTTGACAAGAAAAAAACACTGGAGTACAAATATATGTGGCACCCAATGTACCCATCATCACACCAACTCTGCTAAGTGTATACCTGGCACATTCAGATCAGCCAAATAAGCATGATATGGTGAGAAATTTTACTAAAAGCAGCGCATAACATTGCAGATGGAGCCCATTTAGAAATACCGTCAAGTCAATTACTCTAGTCCAGAAAGGTCGAACCTTTATATAGTTTCTATCTATATTTCTGAGATGAGGTATTATGTACATTATTTACATTATTCGGACTATTGTCCTCATCTTTGTCGCCATATTTATTACAACGTTTCGGCCGTTGTATACTCCAGCCTTCTTCAGGTGGTTGGAATGTCCTGACACATGGCACAGTGGATAAAGGCGTTGGTTAGATCCAGTGACAGGACCCAAAGAGTGTGAGTTCAATACCTGGTTAAGGCAGTGGAGAACTTTCAGAGGGAAATTAACAGGAGATAACTGACATCCATTAAACATGGCACGTGGGACTAGAACAGTCTACCCCAGTGAGCAAAATAAAGGGTTAAATTTGACATTCCAACCACCTGAAGAAGGCCGGAGAGTACAACAGCTGAAACATTGTAATAAATATGGCGACAAAGATGAGGGCTTTGTATAGTTGTCAGGTAATCTTTGGTACTTTCGAATTTTTAATAAACATAAACGAGTCGTTCATATATTTACCGATATTTGTTTTAATGAGAAACTTGTTGCTGCGTCTTGGTTACTAATATTTAATTCAAGGTTTATACTTTGTTGCCTTCAGTTTAACATGTGCATCTCTAGGGTTACAGAGGTTTGATTATCTCCCTTTGGTGGAGATAAGTCACATGACAGCCACTTAGTGATGTGACACTCTTACAGTGACGAAAGTGGCCAGTTGTTCAGTCAATAAGCTTATTGGTGTCAAGACACACGTGTTTGTTCGTCCTACCTGGGCTTCTGTCTGTCAAATGTTACAGCTTACAGGTCCATAATGCCATTTCCCTTTGGGAATATATCTACCCCAAATATAGAAAGAAACTCCGGCTTGCAGTCCTCAATTTGGGAAAACCCAAGACTTGCTGTTTCCCATTTATGGAATATGTCCTTGCCTTGGACATAGTAGATGAATTCAGCCTGTTTGAATCTGTGATCCTAAACATGGCTTCTCCAAAAACACAGACGAATCTCCATATTATATGAAAGATTCTTCCTTTGTGTTTCTCTTTACAGTTTGCTAGTTGTGTATATATATATATATATATATATATATATATATATATATATATATATATATATATTGTTTAGCATACCTATGGACAATAATGAAGGACAAATGCCCCTCATTTCCATAAATACAGTAGTGAATAATGAATGTCCGGTCTATGTTCTGCAATTGTAAATTCAGTGTGGAATTCACTTGACTGACTTCTAGCAGTTGACTTCTTCTACACACTGCTATCGAATCTTATATGTGTTGTTCTTGTCTTAAGTATTTTCGTTCATTATCAACCTTTATGTGATTATTCTGTAACCTTCCCTAGGTTACAACATTATATATATATATATATATATATATATATATATATATAATGAAAAGATAAGTTGGTCAATAAAACAAAGTCAAACAAAAGGGTACCAATGTGATCAGTACAAAAAACATTTATTAATATTAACCAGGTGACAAAAATGAATCATGGAGATTGAGGTTCCAAGACTGGAATTTTCAAACACACCTGTGATTGATCTTCGTCAGCGGATACGGGAAATAAACAGAGGGACGGTGGAGACTATCCAACATTAGTTCTTAAGGCTGGGTGGAGTCCACTTGTATGTGAAATTGTTAGAAAAACTCCATTCCCTGTTTGGCACACATGTAGGTATAGTTTTTTTGTATATCTTAGTTGTATTAAAGTCTCTCTGAGAACGAAGCCTGTTTGTCATTGCTTTTCCTTTCAGCCATTCCATTCGGATGGAATGGAATGGCTGAAAGGAAAAGGAATGACAAACAGGCTTTTATTATATCACAGATATAATAATAACCCATTTATTATATCACAGATATAATAATAACCCTTTTATTATGTCACAGATATAATAATAATAATACCCATAATTGAAAAGCAAATGGAAAATAAACCTTTCTTCTCCTATTATACAGCACTCATATCCATACAAAGGTGATTCCTGGTGAGAGGGGATATTTCATCACCGCGAACTCAACACTGGTCAATGAGTGTTGGATGTCATAGTGTACACATCTCCTCGATCAGCTTTGACTCAAAAGAGATTTTGAAAGTTTGTCTTTGTGATTTATTAGTCGCAACAGCCTATTTGCCTGATTTGTGTTTAATTTTCAAGCTTTTCCTCACACCAAAAATGGAAATTTTTAGTCAAAGAGGAAAAGTTTGCTCATGAAGGCCACTTATTTGTATTTGATAAGTTTAGTAAGAGTCAGTTTTAAGTTATGTTTTTAAAATGATACTTAATAAATTACTTTTATTTGTTTTTAAAAAGTTGCTGAAAAAATTCCATAATTCACATGACACCGAGTCAGCGGTATTGAGTCGTCTTGCATGCAATTCCTGATAATTGATTTTATATAGTTCATTGCAAACCATATTTCATGATGTCATTTCACTTACTCTTCATGGGTCACTAAAAAGTTGGTGGTGGGTCAGTTCATGACCCACAGGTCAGTGGTTCACCATCTCTGCTGAAGACAGTTTCTGATGGAGTTTATTCTAAATATCTTCATGTGGCTCCAAAGTTGCCCTGACTGCTTTATCCTTCAATTTAAAAAAAAACAACCACAACCTCTGCCCATGTGCATCAGCTACGGGGGAAAAAAACGGATTCATACTTTTTCCTAAGGGTATCTGCACATAAGTGAATATAACAAACCCAGCTGGAATTTGAACTTTTCATTTTTCATTCTGAACCATAATCCATTACACCACCTGCACATCCTGGTCTTTTTACTGTTTGAAATTCTTATTTTGCTATTATTTACCAGTTGATATGCATAGTAGCCAATTTGTAACAAGCATCTGCAAACACAAATATTAAGTCTTAAATAAAACCGATGATGAATACAGTAGTCTTTAATGTTGATTGGCTGATATTTTTTGTTTGTTTTTTTTTTATGGATTATCAACCCTTTGTTGGTTATTTAAAGCCAAAACATATTTTGGATTGTAAGATTTTTTTTTTGATGAGTGAATAGTGTATTAACAATTTCTTTTAGGATAGATGATATTCCCCCCCCCAGATAGAAGTCCGACTATTTAATCTATGTCTATGTGAAGATGAGATGGAGTTATACCTTCCCCAAGGTTATTTGCATAACAGTGAACATAATTACCCCCCGCCTATTTTTTTTTAATTCATTTCACTCCAAACTAGGTAATAAAGCCACTAAGACACGAGGGGGGGTACTGAATGTGAAAGAATATAAGAAAAAGAAAAACATTATTGAAGAGCAAGAACAATAACAGAACAGGAATTAAGAACTGGAATTCAAACTCCACTCTATGAATTTAAGTGCAGTACTAGATTGGCTACTAGGTCTCATCAATTTACAACTGAAATGGTGACATCTAACCATCAGTTCTAGGCTAAAAGTTTCTTTTCCTGCACTTTTGTGGAACTCTTGCTCTCCAGTCAACCATTATCTTCAAAGAAATGCAATGTCAATCGTTATTTTCTTTCTCCTTAATTCCTGACCTTTTACTGTCTTCTCACCTTAATAAAGTAACTCCTTGGATCTTAATGGCTTTATTGCCTTGTATTTAGAAAAAAAATGCTCTCTGATTTCTTATTCTGAACTGCTATTGACTATACCACCCACACACCCGGGATATTTGTTAAATCCTGCCCATGATATCATTGAATAGAAAATTTACTTGGAATTTCTTTTGTCTTTTCTATCCCTACCAGTTTGACATCATGATCAGAAGAATCCTCCAGACTGGCTCCAAACCTTTTTGTTTAGCTGGCATCTTTATGCTGATGATGTGGGCATTGAGTATGACTCGTGTTGAGTCTTCCACACCTGGAACAGGTGCCCTGACTGTTGTTGAAAATTCAGATGAGACGACACAAGATTCAGGTAAGTTCTCTTTCTCTCCCTCCATTTTTTTTCTCCCCCATCACTATCTCTGGGAAGTTGCTTGAATATTTAAAACAGATTTATTTTGGAAGTGACATTGTTACCTGCCTAAAAGATATTTGTTATCATGACAGATTATAACAATTCCAAAAATGTGGAATTGAAATTCAGATTTTGATGTTACATTATTTACATTATTTTTATTGTCCTCAAAAGCCATATTTATTACAACATTTTGGCCTTTCAGTATCTGTCTATATTTCTGAGATGACCTATTATATAAATTGTTTTACATTATTGGACTATTGATATATCTTTTCTTGCCATATTTATTAAACGTTTGACCTTTCAGTTTCTGTCTATATTTTTGAGATGACCTATTATATAATTTATTTATTTTTATTGGGACTATTGTCCTCATCTTTGTTGCCATATTTATTACAACATTTCAGCCATTGTATGTCTCGGCCTTCTTGTGGTTGGAAAAACTTAACCCTTTATTTCACTGACTGGGGTAGACTTTTCTAGTTCCATAAATCCATGGATGTCAGTTATCAGTTTATCTCCTGTTAATTTCCCTCTGAAAGTTCTCTGCTGCCTTAACCAGGCATTAAACTCACACTCTTTGGGTCCTGTCACTGGATCTAACATTTTTTATCCACTGTGCCATGTGTCCTCAAGTGCACATGGCACAGTTCAATTTTAAGTTAAGGCAGTGGAGTTAGTTAATGAAAGGGAATCACAGATTATTATAATTGACAAACAAAATGGCATGAATGTAAAAAAACCTACTTTTATTTAAAGGTTATGTTGAAATATTTCATGAAAAAAATGGATCATATAACAGCCATTTTGTAATAAATGTTTGATTCATAAAAAGATGAGGACAATAGTCCAAATAATTTAAATATATATTATAATATTTCATCTCAGAAATATGGACTTGATCAGATTTGAATTTATTGTTTATAATTCCACCTAGTCTGTTGCATTTACTTTTGCAGGAATCCAACACTTCTCCTCACAACTTATATCCATGCTTAGAATATTGCTGCCCCTGTTATTTACCATGATCTCCTTGATAAAATCCAAAAAAGAATCAGCAATACTATTAGTTCTGATCTGGCAGCTCCACTTCAGTCAATTTCCCATTGCAATGAGGTTCCCTGTCTGTGCCTTTTCTATAAATACTTTCATTGTTATTGTTCTGATGAGCTCTTCACTATGGTGACTAAACTTCAATTTAACTGTAGTACTAGACTGGTATCAAGATCTCATCAATTTACAATTGAGTTGGCTAGATGTAATTGTAAGTTTTATGCTAAGAGTTTTTCTCACACTTCTCACTTGTGGAACTCTCTTCTGGCTCCATGCTTTCCAGCCAATTTTGATCTGCAAAAATTTAAATGAAATGTCTTTTCTCTTCCCGCTCATTATTAATGTTTCTGTTCCTGATTCTTCCACACCCAGTAAGCCCTTGTGTCTTAGTGGCTTTACTGCCTTGCTTATGGAACTCCCTTCTGGCGTCATGCTATCCAGCCAACGTTAATCATTTAAAATTTAAATGCAATATCAATCGCTTTCTCATGTCCTCCTGATTACTCTTTCCTCTTTCTCTTCCCGCTCATTATTAATGTTTCTATTCCTAATTCTTGTAAAATCACCCTGTAAACCCCTTATGTCCTTAGTATATTGAACATGCCTTTCTTGTGGAACTCCCTTCCGGCTCCATGCTTTCCAGCCAACTTTAATCTTCAAATATTTAGATGCAATATCAATCGCTATCTACTGTCCTCCTGATTACTCTTTCCTTTTCCCACTCATTCTTAATGTTTCTATTCCTAATTCTTCCACACTGTGTAACCTCCCTGTGTCTTAGTGGCAATTATGAATTGAAAGTAGTGTAAAAAGGTAGCAGTAAAATCATTTCATCTTTCCCAAGATTTTAACCAGACAGACAATAACGATTGACATTGCATTTAAATTTTTGAAGATCAAGAAGCCAGAAGAGAGTTCTACAAGCGAGAAGTGCAAGAGAAGAAACTGTTAGAATAGAACTTACAGTTACATCTAGCCATTTCAACTGTAAAATGATGAGACCTTTCCACCAATATAGAAGTATGCTTAAATTCTTAGAGTCTAGGAACCAAAGAGGAAAGTTTATCAGAACAATTACCATGAAAGTATTTATAGAAAAGGCACAGGAAAGCTACATTGCAGTGGTAAGAAAGTGAAACTGAGATGCCAGGTCCAGACTAATAATATTGCAGTTTCTTCTTTGGATTTTATCAAGAATCTCTAAATATATAGCAGAAGCACCAGACCAGATGTGGCAGCAATATTCAAAGCAAGGATGAATGGTAGACTTATAAATATGTAAAAATAGATTCATCAAGAAATATTTTATCAAGAAAATCTAAATATATAGCAGAAGCACCAGACCAGATGTGGCAGCAATATTCAAAGCAATGATGAATGGTAGACTTATAAATATGTAAAATAGATTCATCTTTGGATTTTATCAAGAATCTCTAAATATATAGCAGAAGCACCAGACCAGATGTGGCAGCAATATTCAAAGCAATGATGAATGGTAGACTTATAAATATGTAAAATAGATTCATCTTTGGATTTTATCAAGAATCTCTAAATATATAATTCAAAAGCACCAGACCAGATGTGGCAGCAATATTCAAAGCAATGATGAATGGTAGACTTATAAATATGTAAAATAGATTCATCTTTAAATTTTTATAAAAAATCTCTAAATATATATCAGAAGCACCAGACCAGATGTGGCAGCAATATTCAAAGCAATGATGAATGGACAAAAGACTTATAAATATTTAAGATAGATTCTTCTTTGGATTTTATCAAGAATGATCTAAATATATAGCAAGTTTGGCAGACCAGATGTGGCAGCAATATTCAAAGCAAGGATGAATGGTAGACTTATAAATATGGAAGATAGATGGTTCCAAAATTCTTTTATGTGCCTCCAACTTCTAATTTATGAGTAAATTGATAAACACAATAATTTCTTAAATACAAAAAATTTAATAAAGCGATTAGCAATTCATGGTCTAAATTAGTAGAATGCCACACTAAAATACCCAAACTTCATGATTTATGCAAAATACACTCAGCAGACATTTCAATGTCACCCATTGTATCTGGACTTGGTAGTACTTCCCCATAGAATCACAAAAACCATAGCAAAATTTAAAACCCAACTTCTTGGAAAAATTAGCTTATCACATATTAAGTATGAATTTCTTTGGAGTTAAAACTTCCTCATTGCTCACATGTTTGGTCCATGGTACTCTCAGTATCCTTCTGTAGAACCACATTTCTGTTGCTTCAAATCTCTTCTTTATCTATAAGGAAATTGTCCCACATTTATTGCCATATAAACGATTCAATATTATATAGCAATTCAACACTCCTTTCAGTGTTCCCAATGACATTTTCTGATCCCTTAATACCTTACTCGGTTTCTGAAAGGCATCTTTCTCTTTTCCTATGCACTACTGAATTTCTGTCTCACAAAAGAGTAGTGAGAGGCTTGCAATATTTCATCTGTGGCAAAAGACTTGAGAGGTAGAAAATAATCACCCACAAAGCCTCGTAGGCATATTTTAACTCTGTCAAGGCTGAAAAGAGCAACCTTGGATTAGTCAAAGATAAGATAACATCTAAGGACACTTACAGAAGAAAGATATTATTGTTCCGAGTTTGTTCATCCATAAATATTTGGAAATTGTGATGTAGAGCCAGAAAAAAAGGCACGTTTTGTAAATCTCTAAGGTAGTTATTTTTATTTCGGTCTTTTTAGATGTCTCTGATTGCTAGCCATATTTGCTTTGCACTTTCTGCTTTTCTTAAAATGTCCCCTGGTTTGCTCACATCAAATAAGACAATGATGATAAACTACATCTGGCAGCAAGGCCTTTGATCAATAGATTGGAGGTTTTGAGAAGCATGGAACCAACCACCTCTTAATTGCTGTTGTTCCCAAGAACACCCTGACCTGGAGTGACAGCACCTGTTAGGGTCCCAGCTATGGGTAAATAGAGATGCTTCCAAACAATCAAAACACTATGAAAGTATAAAAATATGTTTTTATAGTAACAATACCAGCAATACATTTTTGTAGTGAAATTACCAATAATACATTTATATAAAAAAATTTTTACTAACAATACATTTCATAGTAAAATGACTGACAATATGCATTTTGTAATAAGATGACCAACAATACATTTTATAGTAAAATTGAAGACATGACATAATTTGTCAAAAAAGTAAAAACAAATTGCTATGATTAATCCCATTTCTTATAAAGAGAAACTAGTTTTCACTTCTCATTTGATTTTGCCAGATTATTTGTTAAAAAAAAATGCAGTTACGTAATTTAATCCTGGAATAATGTTGCAAATTATGAGTTTTGAATTTTCACATTTAGATTTCAACCATACCCATAGAGGTGTTGATATGCCACTAAACAAAAAAGAACCAAACAAAATTGTTGCTGTCCAGTATTGGCAACATTCTTTGCTAGAAACACATCTCTCTTGCTTCAAGTGTCTTTCTTTCTTTTACTTTTTATGCTTTCTTTTCATCTTTTTTAGGTTTTCTTTGTATCTTTCTATATTTCTTTATTTGTCTCTTTTATTCCTCTTTTTATTTTTCTTACTTTCTTTTTCTTCATTTCTATCGTTTAACTTTTTTTCCCTTTCTTTCTTCATCATTTTTATTTGTTTTTCACTTTTTCAGGTTTCCCTTTTTTTTTCTTTTTTTTTTTTTTCTGCATTTTTATTGTTTTTCTTTTTTGATATTTCCTTTTCCTTCTTTTTGTTTATTCTTTGTCCTTTTTTTCTCAAAACACTATAATTTTTCTTCCTGATTGTAAATTTCCTTGTATGTCTGATTAAAATACAAAATTAAATCATTTTTGTTTTTTCTGTCCATGGCATTCTTACAACCATCAATAGAACCAGATTTTAAAATTTTCAAGGGTCTCTTCTTCATTTGTGGTAAAGATCTGCAACATTCACTAAATCTGAATTTATTATATATTACATAGATATTGAACACTTTTCTCCTTTTCTTTTTTCTATCAATATTTTCCGTTTTTAATACTAATTTAATTTTCTATAAAAGGCAATGGTTTTTGCTATTTTTTGTCTTTTTATTATCATTTTCTAATTATTTTTACTAAACTTTGAATATTATATCATCTGTATTTAATGACCTTTGGCATCCACAATACTTACAGCTCTAATCTCTCTACAACTGGTTGGGGTTTTTGTTTTGTTTTTTTTTTTTGTTTTTTGCATTCTGTCATTTTTATTTATAGTAATGGACAGCAATTCAGATTTAGGAATCTGCTGGAATTCAAATTTCAGTTGAATCCATTACATTCCTTACATAGCTAATAATACAAAACTGAATTTCAAATGAATCCTCATCTCCCCCAATATGGGTAAATAGGGACAGACAGGGTTCAATAGCCTTGGTTTAACTGGTCTACAGAAAAGAAATGGCTACCCACTGCAGTCACTTTTTTACTCTGCCAAGTTAAATCTGTTCTTCAGTCATGTAATCAAAAGAGAAATAGTTTCAATTGAATGCCCCAGAAGACATTCATGGCTTTCATAATCCATTATATTCACTTACACACAAATACTCTTGGGAAGGTTTGAATCTTCTTCTTCTCTCCCCAGTTATTGGTAAATAGCAGGACAGACCAGGTTCTATAGTCTTGGATATGAAACTGGTCTATTGCAGAAAAAATGGCAACCTTTTTAGGAAAAAATATCTGCCTCCAATTTATTGAAAAACATGATTGTAATTTCTAAAATCACATGAGGCATGATTGACTGAATGGTTAGTGGCTGGAATGGGAGGAATTGAGAATATTCTACAAAAGAAATCCACTAGAATCCATTACATTCCCTTATATGCTAATTCCTTTGGGAACAGTATGAATCCTCTTCCCCCTCCCCACCAGCTATGGGTAAATAGCAGGACAGATTGGGTTCTATAGCCTTGGATGGCAACTGGTCTACTGCAGAAAGAAATGGCAACTTACTGCGGGGAAAAATCTGCCTTGTCAGTCATGTATTGAAAGATACATGATCGCCTCAGCGTGTATCACGCATGGCACATAACTGAGTAAAAGTTAATGGTTAGTCTTTTTGTCTTGCTTTCCTTTCCTACTTTTTCTGATAGAGGAAGAATTGCCCAGAAATTAAATAGTTTTGCAACTTTCTTATCAGGTTAGACACAGCTGTATGTAGAGGACAAAATTTCTGTACCTGATTTTTGACATCCCTAATATGTAGCTTGCAACTTGGGTTGTCTCTTCTACTGACAAAATTACTTGAACTTTCTTGATTATGTCATTCAAGCTCACCATATTCAAGAAAGGCAATTGTCACCACACAGGTCCTGATCCTTTTTGAATCATCACCAATCCTTTGTAAACACCTATGTTTAATCAGCACTGGAAAAATGTAAAAAAAAAAAATTTTGTTTAGACTTTTCATCCAAATGAATAGTATTACAGGTTCAATCAAAGTCTCCAGTTGTAAAATGTCTGTTTGATTTCACTTTCCAGCTACGTTGTCTTTTTTTTTTTTATCCTGAGACCAATTAACAAATCGTAGATCCTGGAAGATTCAGAAATTTTTTCTAAATAAGTTCATTGTCAATTTGAGAATAAGGCCATCAGAAAAATCAAATATGAAACAAGTCAGTTTCCAAAAAAATTTATGTATATAAGAAAAAATTTAGCTGGAAACTTTGCTTCTTTTACAATAAGTAGTGTATATGAAATAAAGTTCAGAAAAAAAACAAATATTGAAAATAATTCTGAAAGGAGAAATAGTTTTTTTGGGTTCACTTTTTTGTTCTTAATATTTGATAATTTTTTCACTATCAGGATATAAGTTGAGCACAATGTATTGCACCAATATTGCAGATAACTCTCTCTCTCTCTCTCTGGTCAACATTCTTCATCCAGCTCAATTCCAGTTTCTTGTTTGACTGTTTGTTTTTTTAGAAACACACACTTAAATAAACACTTCTGGTAGCGACAAAACCCTAAATTTGGTAAACTTAGAATACAACCTGATTACTGACCTCTCCCCTCTTCATGATTAAATAAACAGTCTCTTATTAAAACATTGGTATTTTTCACTTATGTCCCTGATTCTCTGGACACAAATTTCACTACAGATTATTTTTCCCATCTATAAACAAAATTCTATATTACTATAATTATTAATATTTCAAGGGTGGCCATTGCCCTCTGCTAGGTGTGACCATAGTGTTACCGCATGTCTTGAATGGAATCAATTCCTCCACAGATCTGGGTTCAAATAAGACAGATGGAATCATGTGTAGTATGGCCTGGATCTTTAGACCTGGCATTCAGGAATCCCTTTCAGCTCAAAACCACAATGTCCTCTAATTTGAAGTCTCACCTTGGTCACAAGCACATGGCTGTCATTTCCATTCAGCGAAACGTCCACATCAGCTGATCACTTCATTCTCAGAAATGTCCCACCCAGTTCTGCTGTGTCACTGGCTACGTATATAAAAGTGTATAAAATTGCAACAATTGACCTTGAATTAGATTTTATTTCATTTTTAATTGTTTGGTATTATTTGTGTATTTTTCTATTGTTGTTTTGACTTTGTAGGCTTTGCATTTAGCATTATACCGGAAATTATTTGAATCTTGTAAGAGTTTGAGAGTATTTTCAATATCTTTTTTCTCATCAGGTCAGAATTGGGAGCTATGTTTTAATACCTTGCTTAGTTTCTGAAAGGCAACTTTTTTTCAATTTTGTCTTTGAATTTCTGTTTCACACTTTCTATTATTTGTTACTAAACTACCCTATTAATTTCTGTATTTGCTTGACCTTTGGCATCCAGAATATACAGCTCACTTGCAACTTGGGGTTTGTTTTAGTGTTGTTTTTTTTTTATTTTGCATTCTGTCTCTTTATGGTGGCATCTTGACTTCAGTCACTTTTCCACCACTGTAATGTAACTTCCTCGTGCCTTTTCTATAAATACTTTTACGGTAATTGTTTCCTGTTTAAGATTGAGTTTTTGGTTCCTTCTAAAGTTTTTTCATTTTCTTTTCACTTCCAGCGTGCCTTTGTGTCTTAATGGCATTATCACCTTGCTTGGGATGAATTGATTAAAAAAAAAAATTTCAGATATTGGAGAAGTCTGAAAGTATTTTGAATATGTTTATCCATATAGGTAATTCGATTGGGCCTACAGATTCTATTCCATCCTTAAATGTACCATTGTCCATGCTAAGAATATTATTTACTAGATATGGTGGGTGCTCCTTCTATATATTTAGCTATTCTTGATAAAAACAAAAAAAATCTGTTCAAATTATTTTCCTGACCTGGCATCTTGACTTTTTTAATCTTTTCACCTCTTGTCATCTAACTTCCTCGTGCTGGTTTTCTATAAGTCTTTACTTTTATGTCAATTGTTTCCTGTTTAAGATTGGGTTTCTGGTTCCTTCTAAAGTCTTTTCATTTTCTTCTCACTTCCAGTATGCCCTTGTGTCTTAGTGACTTTATTATCTTGCTTGGGGTGAATTGATTAAAAAAAAAAATAATTAAGATATTGGAGGAGCCTGAAAGTGTTTTGAATTTTTTTTTTTTTCCGTATAGGACTTTGCCATAATTATTTCACTATCAGGATATAAGAGGGGGTTCACTGGCAGTATTGCATCAATATTGCAGATAACTTGAATTCACTTCCTCTCTTCGAATAATCATGGTTCTCAGAATCCTAAGAACCATGATTATTAAAATATTTCTTTCTTGTACTCTGTTTAATAAAAATACGATAAATAATTGACATAATAATCATTGTTTTCCACATTCTTTTTCTTTAATCATTTAACCCCAAGCAAGGCACCAAAGCCACTAAGACACAAGGGATTACAGAGTGTGAAAGAATATAAGAGAAGAAAAACATTAAGGAGCAAAAACACTAAAAGAACAACAATTAAAAAGAAGATAACGATTGACATTGCATTTATTTTTTTAAGGATCAAAACTGACTGGAGAGAAAGAGGTCGGAAGAGAGTTCTACAAGTAAGAAATGCAAGAGATCATAAGCTGTTGCATTTAGCCATTTCAGCTGTAAAATGATGAGACCTACCCGCCAATTTAGTACTGCACTTAAATTCATAAAGTCTAGGTACCATTGAGGAAAGTTCCTCAGAACAATTACCATAAGAGTATTTATAGAAAAGGCACGAGGAAGTTATATTACAGAGGTGGAAAATTGACTGAAGTCGAGATGCCAGGTCAGGGCCGGTAATTTTGCAGATTCTTTTTTGTATTTTATCAAGAATAACTAAATATATAGCAGGAGCACCAGACCATATCTAGCAACAATATTCTAAGCATGGACTTATGGTACATTTAAGCACACTTAGAATCTGTAGCCCCAACTTCTTACCTATATGGAAAAACATTCAAAACACTTTCAGACTCCTCCAATACCTGAATTTTTTTTTTTTTTTAATCAATTCATCCAAAGGAAGGTGATAATGCCACTAAAACACAAGGGCATACTGGAAGTGAAAAGAAAATGAAAAGACTTTAGAAGGAACCAGAAACCCAATCTTAAACAAGAAACAAGGGATAAAACTCTACTCCCTTGTGCAAATTAATTCAAACAACCCCTTTAGTTTCCTTTCTTTCACCATACGATCAGTTTTAGACCCACTGCAGTGACAGAGTGAAATCAATTTCTATTTTTTCCTCAGATTAGGTCATTTGAAGTGCTTTGCAGTAATATGAATCTATTTTTATTTATAGTTTCTGTGATGTACTCATGAGGTATTTACTAAAGCAT